GAAAATGGGGTTTGTATTCGTAGGAAAAAGTCATTGAAAAATAAGAATTAAGTGTAAGAAAAAGTTTTCTTGGCTGTTGAGGAGCCTGGAAGGCTGGTGAAAAGTGTCACAAGGCTATTTGTAAGGCCTGAGAAAGCTGGAAACTTTGGACCGGAGGAGTTTGATAAAGGATCGTGGCAGCATTTCCTTGTGTTTCTCTGTGTATTTGAAGTAATTCTGTGGGTGAGCCAGCACATCAAAGAAAGCTTTGATCAGCTTCTTGTCCTGCAGGGAAAACAAACAGAATGGACATGTTAACTATAGGAGCAAGGGTCTGTAGCACACACTGCAGAACTCCACAGGGGCTGCTTGCAGACAGGTAGCTCCTACTGCTACTCAATCAGTGCTCTCCCACTATAGGGACTGGAATGCAGTCGTACCTTGGAAGTCAAACAGAGTCCGTTCCGGAAGTCCGTTCAACTTCCAAAATGTTTGGAAACCAAAGCGCGGCTTCTGATTGGCTGCAGGAAGCTTCTGAAGCCAATCAGAAGTCATGAAAGTCCCGTTACATGTTCCGCTTCCAAAAATAGTTCGCAAACCAGAACAGTCACTTCTGGGTTTGCAGCGTTTGGGATCCAAAATGTTCGAGAACTAAGCTGTTAAAAAACCAAGGTGTATGAGTGTAGATGGCTTTTGAGGGACCTATGACCTTTAAAGTGCACATGTAACATAATATGTATATAGTTTGCCCTTTATGTCATCAATTCAATGTTTCCCCACCCTCTGCAAGGAGCTCTCCAAGGACAAGTCACAGTTCCTAGTCCTGCTGTCTGGGATCCTTTTTCAAGAGGAGATGCCTGGGCAGGAATCATATGCATGCTCAATTAGCACATGCTCTATTACCCCAATAACAACAACAACAAAAAAAGGCAGCCTCACCTTCAGTATTTCCTGATGATTTTCAGAAGCATATAGCCTGCCATCCCGTACAATATCCTCCACGAGCTGTTCATAATCCTCTACATTGTTGAGAAAGGAAGTGGGAGGGATAATGAGGAAGAAAAAGCAAGGGATTAACACACCTACTATTATTTAAAAGAAACACGTACCTACAAACAATGGCAAAAGGAATTTGATGCTGCACAAAGCTGCTTCAATGGTCTCTTTCTTTGGAGTAGCTCCTTTATTTCCCCCAAATTCTGACCCAATTCCACATTCTAAAACGGCTCACTGGCTTGGGGTGTACAAAGGAGGGCAGCCAAACACTGGCTCTGAGTTTGCAAGTGACCGCAGGTCAGGGAGACTGTTCAAGGGACTCGCCTCATTCTTCCCTCCCTCAGCCGGGTGCAATCCAGGTCAGAAGGAGAAAGAGATGAAGGGAGCAACATCATGGACTAAGATGGGAGAGGGAAGAAAAGGCAACAGCCTAGGAGGAGGAGAGGCTGTGCCATCCAACCATATAGAGGTTTTGCATGCGAATCAGAATGCAGAAGGGGGGAGTAGCACTTCAGACCATGCCCCCATTCTTAACCATTCACTGGCCTCAAAATGCTCATCCTATGCAGATGCTCATCCATATTGTCAGGGAACTGCCATCAGTGCCAGAGGGAGAAAGCAACATCCAGGGGGATTCCGGAGAGCATCCCGGGAGTGGGAGAGGCAGCCCATCTTCTGGGGAAGAGAATCAGCGTAGCACCAGTGGAGAAGGGGGCAGATGGGGGAAGCGGCGAGGCGGTCCCATGACTCCTTGACAGGGACCAGCGGGGACCAGAGTAGAGGTCCTCCGCTGCCTACGCCCTCCTTGCGCAGAAGGCTTTCGCGCAGAGAGAGTAGGCGGAGACTAGGCGTCAAAGAGCTTCTTTGCTGGAAGAAGTTTAAGAAACGCCCACTGACAGATTCTGCCAGCGATTGAGACAGCCACGGGTGAGTGGCTGTCCGGACAGAGAAGGTTCACTCAGGCAACCCAGCCAGGTGTTTGCACCGGCTTACGCACGAGCAACCCCTAGAACCATTACACATATGTAGGGCAAGCACATGGAGGATGCAGAGGGGCTATGCCTCCAAGCACTGCCCCAGACATCTTGCTAGCCTTGATTCCTAAAAAACATGCATTGAGCACAGACACCTGCAGAAGCTTATGAACCAAGAGTTGTATGTGTCTTGCCTTCTCTTGGCAAGGAAAGCTTAGTGCATGGTCTCTGAGGAGTGGGGACAGTATAGTGTTAAAAGCAGGAGGTTACAGCCCCACTTCATCCTCTAGGTATTTGCCCTTCATTCACCTGCAGTCCTTTCTTTCTCTTACCATCATAGGTGACGTATGGTATCTGGAAGCCTCTGGCACTGTTGGCTTCACTAGTTTTAAAGTTGATCCACAGCTTTCGGGACCTTGCAGTGAAGGCGATGGGTCTCTCATAAGTCTGGCATGTCTCATAAGTGGTGATGGAGGAAGGAGATGCTGCAAGGCAGAACAGAACAGGACCATGTGCTGTGTGGAATCACCCAGATCTCACATCCCAAGATAAACTCCATTAAAAGATCTAGGAAGGCTGAGCAAAAAGGAAAACACCGCTGAAATCTAAGCAAAGCTCTTCCTGCTTCCTTTGCCTCACACCTTTGCTGAAGTCCTAACATCTGCGAGACAAAAATGAGTGTGTTTTCCTTTCCAAGGTTATAAACTTTGAGGATAGCCTAATGCCATTTGTCAGCTTAACTACTGAAGGCAACTTTCCTTTTCGGGGGTGGTGAGGCAGAAGTAAAGAAGTGTTTCATTTGCTTAGTGGTAAAGCAAGCAGAAGACACATCAGGAAAGAAAGAGCTTGCGGAGCCAAATGTGGTGCACCATCTACGGCAGGGGTGGAGAAACTCCTGGCTAGTGGACCAGATCCTGATCTACCCCCTGCCATCTACTCCACAGACTACTTTGATAGGTGGGTTAGTCCACTCACCTGTCAGTCATCTGATTTCTGTATGCTGCCAGGCAACAAATTCAAAGTCAGCTGACTTGTGCTGACAGCATGCCTTCAAACAGATTCTCTATTTTGACCCTTTGCTGGCATGGTTTGGATTCAAAGTGGGAACTGCAGCAAGCCCCTTTGGAGGGGCACTTTAGGTGCCAATTAGCTGGCTGGTGCTGAAAGCATGTGCTCCAACAGGCTCCCTTTCAGCACTGATCAGTGCTGACAGCGAGTCCCCTTGGCTCCAGTACCAGGAACTTCCTAGCGCACTTGATCCCAGTGGGGTTCACTGTCAACACTGATCTATGCTGTCAGCTAGCTCCATTTGCAAAGGAACAATCAAGAGCACACTTTAAATTCATGACTGTTCCTTCACAGCCATATCCTTACCTGCCCCACATCTGATGTCAGGTGAGCATAGTTTGGAGGAAATGCCCTCATGGGCCAAATGTGGACCCCTGCTGGTTCTAATTCGGCTCCAAGACTGGAGGTTCCCCATGCCCAAGATGGGGAAACTGCTCCAGAGATCCCCACAAGAGCCATAGTGATGAATGCAGGGAGGAAAACATACAATGGTCCCAAGTCCATCAGCATGGCTGTCAGAGACAACGGAGCTGTAAGATCAGTGAGGGCTGTGCAGGCTACACCCTTACTGTGATGTTAGTTCAGGGACTGCTCAAAGCATATATTGTACACCTGATTTTTAGAATCACTTTTTCTGCATTCTCAGTTCAAGGGTATAATATGCTTCACTTAATCCAGGATACATCAGGTATTTGCAGCTTCCCCAATATCCTGTAGGTGTCAGCACTGTAAGCCACCAGAAGTCTCAAACAGAATCTCCAACAGCAGAATACAAGCACTTTGCACACTATGACACTTTGTTGGAAGAAGCAGCTCTCGCTGCTCATTACTACTCTGCAGCACCACCAGGGGATGGCATTGCAGGAAGCAGTTCAGCTGACCTACAAAGCTGCTTGCACTGGCTTGGTCCCCAGTCATGGAACTGCCATCCTGTCTCTCCATCAAACCAGGGCAGGCACACAAATCACTTGGTTTGATCACTTATTCATGCTGGCAGGGAGACAAAGTCTCCATAGCTCCTTAGGTTTCCATAGTCCAGAAATTGCGGAGGAAACCTAGGCCAGTCCCCATCGCCACACTGCCCTTTTTGCATGGCCCCTACACAGCATTTGGTTACCTACAGTTTTTCCGCATGACCAGGACATCCCCACATTCATCCTCAGACGGCAGGAAGATTTCAGGCACCACAATGAGAATTTTGCGCTTTGGCGGTGGGTTGATATTCCAAGTACACTCCACATTTGCAGGGTAGTTTCCAGGGTAGTTGGGAGACTCAATATAACCAGTGTACTCTCCCAACTCCCCTCCACATTGACGGTCTGCAACAAAACACGTAGGGATCACTAGGATGTTATCTGGGAAGCAGAACCTGATTGATTGCCAAGGGAGACCTGGGACACGGGGCCTTGGCACTGTAGAAGCACCAGATGTGACACAAGTCTATGTATGCCAGTGTGGATATATAAGAGTTGTGTGTAAGCACAGGTACAGATAGGTCCATAAACTTTACTATTGCATGCATAAGGAAAACCAATAGGAAGCTAATGAAACACAGATAATTTCAGCAAATGACTTCTGTTACGTGCAGTCTGCAGAGAACAAAGCATACTTTTGCATTGTGACACAGAGGTTGAGCCGTCAAAGTCTGTGGTGGTATTCCCAGGGCATGTGATGCAGTAGTTCTGGCGGAAGTCAGGTTGGTAAGTGCCTACGGCGCAGCGGATGCAGCGGTGGACGCTGGTGTTATAATAATGGCCCGGGGAACATTGAACTATACATTGAAGAGAAGAGAAAAGTGTCAGAGACTGCCAAAATAATACAAGACCAGCAAGCATTCATGGAAATGAAAAGCTATTTGGGGCAGTTAATTAGCTGGTAACATTGCTTTCTCTAATCGTGCAAGAAGGCTTGATGAATATCACTGAAAGGATGCAAGGCAAATTGAGCAGGAGCACTAAGGTGCATAGTAACACTGGCTGAACATGGATAGCTCAGTTGGCAGAGCATGAGACTCTTAACCTCAGGGTCGTGGCTTCAAGCCTCACACTGAACAAAAATATTCCTTCGTTGCAGGGGGTTGGACTAGATAACCCTTGTGGCCCTTCCAGCTCTCTGATTCTATGATTCTAACCTCTCTTTCTGCCTCCTGACCAAATGTACATTAGTCCTAAATATGTATTTTTTTACCATCTGACATATGGAATCCCTTGTAATACAGGGATTCCATTTATTACCATATTGATATTACCATATTGGGCACTTTTAAGTGTCCAAAGTACTTCCCATAGGCTATCTAGTTGTAATGTTCACAACAATCCTGAAAGGTCAGTCAGCATTATAATCCCCCATATTGCAGATGGGAAGGGCTGGGGCTAACGGTAGCTTGCTTTAGGCCACCTGGTGAGTTCATGCCAAAGGCAAGATTCAACCCAGGGACTTCCTGGTGGGTTACTGAACATTCTGAAGCACTAGCATGATTTATTCTTAGCTAGTTTCTTTACACACACCTCTTTGTCTTCCATCCAGCCAAGGAAGACACATTACCAGAGTTTAAGGACTTGTTCCAGCCAGGCAAAAATGCTCAAACTGAGTGCAATTCAGGGCAGTGAGAGATGCGGCATAGGGAGAGGCCCAAGGGCCAAACAGAGAGGTCTGGAGGGCCACATCTGGTCCCCAAGCCTGAGCTTCCTCATCCCTGTCTTATACAGTGCTGTTGCCCCAAGCATACCTTTGGTATCACAGTCCTGGAAGGAGAAAGCTCCATCATGCTTAGTGTTCAGTCCCCCGCCACAGTGGAAACACAATGCGCGGCCTGCTTCCGGTTGGTAGGTGCCACGTGGACATGGTTGGCAGGGTTTGAAACCGTCTACAGAGTACTGGCCGGGGGGGCACTGACCTGTGGGCCATGCAGGAGAAAAGAGATACTCATTGGTCCAGATTAAGTATTGCCTCCCTATACACATTGCTTCTAATGTACCAGCAGCATGCAACATGCACTATAATATAACCGAGCCATGGGAGAGCACCATGAGAACCGTCGGCCATCCCAGAAATTGCCTAGGGCAACGTTTCTGCCTCTGTACTGGAATGTGATAATGCCCATGGTATGAAGGAGAAACGCCACAATCGGATCCATTTATCCAAGTCCTGGATGTGAAGAATTTCCCCCGAAATAAATACGTAAACAGATTTGGAAGAAATGGGTCATGAAGCTGAACTACCCCGTGGCTGCAGCTTCACAAACCTAGATTCTTTATTTAACAAATTATGTTAAATAAAGTTTGCCATTTAAGAGTAACCGCCAGGCACGGCAATAATAGGTGCACCTCCGAGCTGCCCGTCCTGCCCTACTTCTGAGTGCAATCAATGGCAACAGCTGTTTTCCTGTCATTAGTTGGGGAATTAGGAAACAGTTTAGAACATATGAGCAGCTGTAGCCTCTGTAGCTTTTTCTGTACTTCAAAGTGGAACTGGCTGCAGAGTGACAGGGCAGGAGGAATGCTAGAGGGGAAGTAAAGCATCTTGTGCACAATCTGGCAGTTATCTTTGGGGCCCTTTTCTGAGGGAACACTGAGATACTGCTGTAGTCAGCCTTCTCCTCCAGATATTTTGTCTATAGTTCCCATCACCTTAGCCAATGGTGAAGGATGAAGGGAATTGTAGCCCCAACATCTGGAGGTCCTTAGGTTGTGCGAAGGGTGCAGTAGTGAATCAAAGCTGGAAGTGGCTACCATGCCAGTTACTTACATACAAAACCACCATCCTAGGCCTCTTGTAAATGTTGTGTTTAGGGCCAATGCTTATGAACTAGTTGCCATTCTTTGGTGTGGAAGGGAAAGTGCAGGTATCACTGCAGTACTATTTTTTTGTGGGTGTTATCAATTCCACTCCCTTTGCTGTGGCCACTAATTCATTCTAGTTCCGAGAGCTACTGTTGGCTACTCTGGGACAGGTTATCAAGTGTCCTAGGATATTGGACCTCAGCTATAGGTTTAGAGTACCTTGCAGCTCATCCCTGTACCTGCACAGGCGCTTATATTTGTTGCTCCAGCTGGCCCATAAGCATCACTTCCAGGGCAAAGGTCACAGGAGAGCTGGCCTTCTTTCTCCTGGTAGGTCCCTGGAGGGCAAGGGACACACTGCTCCATCTGACCATGGTAATACGTTCCTTGCAGGCAGCTAACTAAGAGAGAGGCAAAAGCGCTAGTGACACATGTGCCAAGACAATGCCCAAGATAACCCTTGTCTTTCTTGTAGGACAGAGACCCCAGGATCTCTCCTTGCCCATGTTACAATAATACAGCTCAGGCCCTCAAAAGAATGAGCACAGTAACCGTATCTATTGTCTGTAAGCACATGTGGCTGCCATAGATGTTAGAGTTGGCAGCAATGGCATCAGAGCAGCAGTGTAGCACTAAAGGCTTGCAGTTAATATGCAAATGGTTATTTTACTCTTCCTTTCCTCACCCCCAACCAATTCAGGTTGTTTCCTTACCACACTTAGGTCCCAGTCTCTCCTGTCCCGGCCCACAGCTCTCCTGCCTCTCGGGAGTCATGCTCAGCTTCCGTGCCACTTCGTATTCCATCCCTGAAAAGCGGATCAGGAACCGTTCCTGGTTGATAGATTTCTTCAGTGCTTTGATTGCCGATTTCAGTTTTTTCTCAACCTTCTGCCGCACACAGTTCAGATTGCAGCTGGCTGGAGATGAGGGAATGAGACTGTGCTGTTTAACCTAGCACTAGGAAGAAGAAACCCCATTTCCAAAGACAACCTTATGTCCCTTTTTATTTCCAGCTGCTGTTAAATCAGCATAATCTATTCCGGTCTCATGCTAGGGGAATGGCCATAGTTCAGTAGTACAGCACATGTTTTAAATGCAGAAGATTCTGGCTGAAATCCCAGGCATCCTCAGTTAACAGGATCTCAGGTAGTGGAACAGGGAATGACCTCTGTCTGAGGCCCAGCAGAACCACTTCCAATCAGAGTGCACCATGCTGGATAAATCAGACCAAGGGTCTGAGTCAGAAAGGGGAAGCTTCATATATTTCAAATTTCCTCAACCTCATCGCCCCACCCCCCAAATGTTATGAACTAAAGAACTCATCATATTATAAAGTTGTATCCAACTAAGTATACCCACTAAAATGAATGGGCCTAAGCTAGTAATCATGTCCATTAATTTCAATGAATTTGTGTATGTATATATTTATGACAGTGTGTGTATGCATAAATAAAACAAGACATGGCCTTTTCTAAACAATCTTTTAACAATATCTAGGAAAGTTGGGTCAACCAGTCCTTCTCTTGTACTCTCTTCTGAGATGGGTGTTCCTGGAACATGAGGTCTCTTCCTCACATTACTCTGTGATGTTGCCCCCTATCCCTGAGGGGAAAGCCAAGCTCCTCTACCTGTAATTTCTTCGGGCTTGATTTCAGCTTCAAACTCCAACGTGATGCGAGTCACCTCCTTGTTGGGGGAGTTGCGGGCACGGCGTCCTTTGCCCTTCTTGGATGAATCACACTTTAAGTTCACAAATGTCACCTGGCAATCTGAGCAAGGGGCTGCCCCACCTAGGAAAGATGGGGTGCGGTGTTAATATCCTCCAAGCAAGATCTCTCTGAAATCCTGACAGGCATTTTCCTCTGTGACAACCAAGCAGGGCTTCTCTCCTTTATCCCGTGGCAGGAAGTTCATCATTTTACTCCCATACCCTCCCCACACTAGCTAAGGCACTTTCTCAGGCATGACTTCCCAATGATACAATCCCACACAGCTATTCGTGGTGTTATTGCTATCAGTTTTTTCCTCCGCACTACATCATCCTCTGTGGAGGGGATGGCCCCCTTGCTTAGGGTTCTTTTCATCCTTCTATCCTCTCTTTTCTGCTTCTGGGCTCTCACACATTCAAAGGCACAAAAGCATAAAAGCCTCAGCTATTCCACAGCTTCCCAACCACATGCCCAAGAGTGAGTGCAGCAAGCCTTGACTCCCAGAGCCTCAAGCTCTCTCTGTTTGTGCCTGGTTTTTAATAGTTGCAGTATGCAACTATGGCAAATGTGGAAAGCACAGTTCCCTGGTCCTTAAAAGCATCACAAGAGAATGCTTACAAGGACTGCATGCTAAATCCAGAGAGCTGCTTTCGTGACATACAAGACTTAGGACTGAAAACAGCCCCAAGGGAAGACTTTGAGAAGACATACAAAGGAGGGAGTACCTCACCTAGTGCAGCATTCCTGCCCACCTCATCCTGCTTGCCTTTCATGCGTGGGTGCAGGTGGCATTTAGCATCCTTGATTTTGAAGGAAGCCTTTTGTTTGATTGGAGCAGCGACAGTCTCTAAAAGAAAAGGCAGGTGCTAAGTATCAGGGGAGCCAACCGAGTCTCAGGAGGAGTCCTGAGGACTCAGGAGACCAAACTTACCAACACAGGGATGGCTGACATTGCTGGGCCTCTGTGGAGGTCCCTGCCGCAATATTGGGGTACCGCAGCTCACTGTGTAGCTATTGTCAGACTCTGCAAAGAGAAAGAATCAAGTCGTAATCAGCGGAGGCCTGTGGCCAGATATTTCTAAATGTATGCCTGCATGGGCCTGTATTTGCAAGCCCAGCCCAGCCCAACCCAAACCCCAAATGTATTTTTGAAAGATTAGCCCAAGCCTGATCTTGCCCATCAATCATATAGATGAAAGCAGCCCAGTTTTGGCCAGAACCCGTTACTATGTTTCCCCACCCCCATGATTTCCATTCAGAAAGAATAAACAACCCACCAAAGAATCCCAGTGCAATACAAGCACATAAAAGGAGCACAGATGGTGCCAGAGTGTGGATAATCTGAGCAAATTCTCATGGCTCACAGCCTTGTGGGAGCCATTCATGAGTGAGATCACATATGCTTTGCCAGAGGGAGAGTGAGCCAAAGCTAAATGCATGAAGAGTACTTAAAAAGTCCCCAATCAGCCAGGGATTGCATCTGATGCAGTGGTAAGTTAACTCAGTCTGCCAGTCCAAAGATTTCCACTTGTGCAATGGAACGTCCCCATCCATCACCTCCCA